TCAAGAAATTAGACATCAAAATGCTCAACAGTCCAATTAAGAAATGGGCTATAGAACTAAACAGAGAATTCTCAACAGAGGAAACTCAAATGGCTGAAAGACATTTAAGGAATTGCTCAACATCCCTAATTATCAGTGAAATGCAAATCAAAACAACTCTGAGATACCACCTTACTCCTGTCAGAATGGCTAAGATCAAAAACACTGAAGACACCTTATGCTGGAGAGGATATGGAGCTAGGGGAACTCTCCTCCACTGCTGGTGGGAATGCAAGCTTGTACAACCACTTTGGAAATCAATATGGCGCTTGCTTAGAAAATTGGGAATCAATCTCCCCCAAGATCCAGCTATATCACTCTTGGGCATATGCCCAAGGAATGCTCAATCATATCACAAGAGCACTTGCTCAGCTATGATCATATCAGCATTGTTCATAATAGCCAGAACATGAAAACAATCTAGATGCCCTTCAACTGAAGAAAGGATAAATAAAATGTGGTACATATACACAATGGAATACTACTCAACAGAGAAAAACAAAGACATCATGAGGTTTGCAGGCAAATGTATGGATCTAGAAAAAATCATCCTGAGTGAGGTAACCCAGACTCAGAAAGACAAACATGGTATGTACTCACTCATAGGAGGATACTAGATGGGGAACAAGGATGACTGGACTGCTACTCACATCACCAGGGACGCTACCTGGAAAACAGGACCCCAAGAAGGACACGGGAATCGCTCAATGACGGAGAAATTGATAAGATCTACATGAGCAGCCTGGACATGAGTGGGGGAAATGAAGGGTGAGGGTCGAGGGAAAGAGAGCTTGGGGGAGTGGGAGATCCCAGCTGGATCAAGAACAGAGAGGGAGAACAATGAATAGGAAGGAGCCTATGGTAAATGAAGACCACACAAGAATAGGAAGAAACAAAGTGCTAGAGAGGCTCACAGAAATCCACAAAGATACCCCCACAACAGACTGCTGGCAATGGTCAAGAGACAGCCCAAACTGACCTACTCTGGTGATGGGATGGCCAAACACCCTAATTGTCTTGCTAGAAACTTCATCTAATGACTGAGGGATCTGGATGCAGAGAGCCATGGCTAGGCCCTGGGTGGAGCTCCGGGAGTCCAATTAGCGAAAAAGAGGAGGGTTTATATGAGTGAGAATTGTTGAGACCAAGGTTGGATAAAGCACAGGGACAAATAGCCAAATGAATGAATACACATGAACTATGAACCAATGGCTGAGGGGTCACCAACTGGATCAGGCCCTCTGAATGGGTGAGATAGTTGATTGGCTTGATCTGTTTGGGAGGCATCCAGGCAGTGGGACCGGGTCCTGTGCTCATTGCATGAGTTGGCTGTTTGAAACATGGGGCTTATGCAGGGTCTCTCAGCTTGGCCTGGGAGGAGGGGACTGGACCTGCCTGGACTGATTCTACCAGGTTGATCTCAATCCTGGGGGAGGCTTTGCCCTGGAGGAGGTGGGAATGGGGGGTGGGCTGGGGGGCAGGGGAGGGTGGTGGGAGTGGGGAGAACAAGGGAATCCATGGCTGATATGTAGAACTGAATTGTATTAAACAAAAAAAAGTCTCTGTAGCCAGAAGTTTCTCCAATCCCACCCAGCTCCGCAGTCCTGCAGCCACTTATAAAATAATCACTCAGAGGCTTAATTACAAACTGTATGGCCAATGGCTTAAGTTTCTTGATAGTTAGCTCTGCCATCTTAAATTCACCCATTTCTATTAATCTATGTTTTGCCTCATGGCTGTGGCATTACCAGTCTGCTGGCATGTTTCTCCTTGGGCAGCAGGCTGCCATCTCTCCCATCTCTGCCTTTCTTCTTCCTGTCTCTCTCTGGGATTTCCCACCTAGCTATAACCTGACTTGCCATAGGCCAGAGCAGCTTCTTTATTAACCAATCATAGCAACACATATTCACAGCATGCAGAAAGACCATCCCACAGCAGGTCTCCAGTTTCCTTTGACTTCGACTATGCCTCTGTTCTCTCTAGACCTGCATTTCTGCTATGCTTCTGATCCCCAAAGCCTAACAAGCCTCTAAACCACAAAATGGACAAAAACATCTTTTGAGAGCAATGTCTGAGGGATGGGAACTGTCCCAATGATTGAGTGAATTCTCATTTGGAGTTTTGGAGTAGTTCAGAATGAAAGTTGCCTATGGTGTGCACTCAAAATGGGACAAATTAAAAGGGTGGTGGGGGAAAAAAGAAAGCTGCTACCTCATCAGGACTACAGGGTATCATCTCCTCTCATTTCAGCCTGTAAAGCTCTAGCCTTGTTTCTCTTCCACTCAGGAATTTCTTAAGTTAGCAGAAGCTTCCCTATGTGTGTTGGCCAAAGAAAGCTGTCCATCATTATTGAGTCATTTAACACATTTCCTCCCTCCTTCCCTCCCTCCCTCCCTCCCTTGCTCTCTCCCTCCCTCCCTCCTTCCCTCTATCTATCTTTTCCTCCCTCTCTTTCCATCCCAGTCCCATAATTCCTTCCTTCCTTTCTGTTGAAAATAGAATCTTCTCTCAAACAATACATCAGGACCACAGTTTCCCCTTCCTCCACCCCTCCTAGCTTCCCCTAATCTCCCCTCTTTCCCTGATCCACTCCCCCTCCATTTCCCTTCAGAATTGAGCAGGCCTCCAAAAGACAACAAACAAATGCAACAAACAAGATACAATAAGACAAGGCAAAAGCCCTCACATCGAGGCTGGACAAGTCAACCCAATAGGAGGAAAAGAGTCTCAGGAGCAGGCAAAAGAGTCAGAGACACACCTTCTTCCACTGTTAGGAGTCCCATAAAAACACCAAGGTAACAACTATAACATATATGCAGAGAACCTGCTGCAGATCCATGGAGGCCCCCTGCTGCCAATTTAGTCTCTGTGTGCCCATATGAGCCCTGCTTAATTGATTCAGTTTGCCCTGTGCTCCTGGTGTCCCTTCCCTCTAACTCTAGAAATCTTTCCTCTCCCTCTTCATTAGAGTTCCCCGGGCTTCTAGGGAAAGGGATCCAATGGAGACCTCTCTCCATATAATGTCTGTCTGTGGATCTCTGTAACCACTCCCATCTGCTGCCAGAGGAAGCTTTTCTGATGATGACTGGACAAGATACTGATCTATGAGTATCGAAGAACCATTTCATCAGATTTATTTATTTGCCAGTTGTGTTTGGTCCTACCCTAGGTGTCTGGGCTATCCAGCCTCCTGTTTCTGGCCATCTAAGCAGTGTAGGGCATGGGCTTCCTCTTGTGGCATGTGCTCCAAGTTAAAGAAACACTGGCTGGCCACTTCTACAAGTTCTGTGTCACCTTTGCCACAGCACATCCTGCAGGCAGGACAGATTATAGGTCCAAGGTTTTTGTGGCTGTGTTGGTGTCCAAGTTTCTCTTTCAGTAGCCTGCAGAGAACCTTCTCACACCAAAGAGACTAGAACATGGGGATAAAGGCTCCATGCAGGCACCAGCTCATAAACAATTGATTTTCTTTTATCAGAGACAGTAATCATCATAACTAAAATGTTTTTATCTTCAGCTTCTAGAACAAGTATGGAAATGATATTTCTCAGGTACTAAATCATGTTGTGATGAAGCTGGATTGAAAGGGATATATGTGAGCTTTTATCTGGGAAGAGTAGAAAAAAAAACACAGAGAAGTAGATTTAAATTGTGTTCAGAAACTCTCAAGTTTCAGGGCAGTGTCCTCCCTACTGCCCAGGCTTGTAATCAGAAGTTTTTCTGTGTCCTGCTCGGTCCTGCAGCCGCTCAGACCCAAGTAAACACACAGAGGCTTATATTAATGATGAACTGGATGGCCTATGGTCAAGCTTCTTCCTAGCTAGCTCTTACAACTTAACCCATTTCTATTAATCTATAAGTTGCCATTTGGCTGTGGCATTACCAGTCTGCTAGCATTTTGCTGCTCCTTGGACACAGGCTCATGTCTCCCCTTCCTCTCCTTTCTCCTCTCACTATCTCTGTTGGATTTTCCCACCTGGCTCCATCCTGCCCTGCCATAGACCCATGCAACTTTATTTATCAACCAGTCAGAGCAACATATATTCACAGCATATGGAAAGACATTCCACAGCACAGACTGTCTTCACGTTAGACTTCATTTCAAACCAACTGATCACAAATTTGGGCTCAGGGAGTTCTTCAGGTTTGACAGGTTTGTAGATCAAGTCTGAGAACTTATGATAGTGTTATACTTACAATTATGGCTTTATTATAGCACTCGAATCCAGATCAGAGACGGACAAAGAAAGAGACACACAGAGTAGAATCTGAGACTGTCATACATAGGTATGTGACAATACAGAGTGCTGCGAGCCAGGGAGTGTACCCCAGTTTCAGTGTATAGTGGTTTCATTAAAGCTTTATTTGCTAGGCACGGTTGATTGAGTTTCTGCTGGCCTCTGCAGCCCTCTTCCTCTCCTCAGAGGTCAGCTACTCTTCACATGGCCCAAACTTCTAATTCTCTAATCATACAGCTTTGCTTTTTCTGGTAAGGCTAGTTCCTGTCATAAGTATCCCCATGTGGTTGGTCCCTTCCTACACCATCTCTTTAGCACGGACTTTCATGTGTGGTCTGAGGGCCCATCATGAAGCATGGACACTTCTACCATTGGGGAATTGCAAGAATGTAAAGGCTTCTTCTGAGAAGCTGAGACAGAGGGAGCACATTAGAAGAATGGTTGACTCAGCGCTCTTGTAAGGTGAAGTCAGTCTGTGGCACTCTCCTCCTCGTCAGCCTCGGCTGCTGACTTGACAGCCAAGAGTGATCAACTGGATGTTAGAGAGAGTCTCAGTTGAGGCCTTGATCACAGTGGCCTATGGGCATAACTGGGGGAGCATTTTTTTTTTTTGCCAGTCATAGTAGGAAGGTTCAGCCCATGGTGGGCCATGCCACGCTGATCCTGAGTTGTATAGAAAAGATTGGTGGTCACTAGCCAGAGAGAATAAACTAGTAAGCAGTGTCCTCCATGGTTTTCTGCTTCAAGCTCCTGCTTTGGCTTCCCTTGATGATGATAGTCTGTGAGATGTAAGATGAAATGAAACCTTCTCTCCATGATGCTTTTGATCACGGTGTTTCTCAAGGTAGAACAAGCCCCGAGGGAGGGAGTAAATGGTGACAGAAAAATGCTGCTGAAAGACTCATGGCCCCTGGACATGGTGCAGAACTGTACGTACCTGTGCTTTTTTTAGAGCCGAGTAAGGGATGTCACCGAAGAGGAATAACGTGATGTTTAGTCAGTCTGTACATTCCAGTGGGTTTCAAGTGGCTACGAATCCATGGTCTGCAGTTCCAGTCCCACTCGACTGAAAGCAGAGATAATGTCAAGGTAATAAACACGGCTGAAGTACTCTCAATCCTCAACAATGCAGGTGTTTATGTATGCGGGGGAGAGGGAGAAAAAGAGGCGAGAAGTCAGAAAAAAAGTTAGGTTATCTGTAAATAATTAGCATTTGCATTTACACTCTAATGTCCTTGCAGGTTTGAGTCCCTCACTAAGGCACCCGGACTTAGAGAGGGTCAGTAATCTTATTCTGCGAGCGGTTTGTCTTTGAGGCTAAAGCACAGCAAGATTCTAAGCTGGTTTGTGTTTTCTCAAATTCTCCAGTAGAGCCTGGGTAGCTTATTGGACTTCAAAGGGCTCCTCTTTATGAGAAGAAGTGTGGGGAGTTAAGATGTTACCCAGAATAGGAAGAGACCAAGGGGGATGCTTCTTTGAGATCACCTGGAGCCACTGCAGGAAGCAGATGAGTAGCTCTGTGGATAATGGGGTAGAGGCAGGCGAGGTTAATTCTGGGCATTTTGTATTCCTCTCTCACTTCTTGGCTCTTTGAATCACAGAGACTGTAATGTTAGACTACTCGTCCTTTGCTCCAAGAAAACTGCTTTTAAACTACTTCCAGCATGGGTGAGTGCAAAGATCATTATGCACAGATTCAGAAGAGGTAGGCTTGCATGAGACTGCCCCCACTCGCTAGCTGTGTTATCCTCGGACAGTCTGCTAAACCTGCTACCTCATTTTTCTTGTCTATATATAAAAAAGGGAATACAATATCCATTTAAAAGGATTATTATCAGAGTTAATGAAATAATGCACATAAAAAGGTATAGAACCCTGTCTTTAACATGATGTTCAGCTCGCTTGTCCTTGCCCTGACTGATTCTCTTTGCTATACCACTACATGATTTAAAGCCACTTGTTACTCCAAAGCTTTCAAGCGGCGACTTTGACACAGAATTCTGCATTGTCTCTAAAAGTCTCATTCCCTAGCAAACCCAAGTTCTGCTTAATTGCTTCCTTCTTCCCATTGCTCTCTGTATAACTCAGTTTGAAATTTAACCCTGTTTGCCCCTTGTCAAGGGGACTGTGCCTAGGGGGGGTTTAGCTGTTGCTGAGGAATTGTGCAATTTAGGAAAATTAAGTTTCAGACCAGCCATGTGGCTCTGACAGCTTCTACTGCTCAGTACTTAGCAATAATGGAGAAAATGCCAGTAAAAATGACAAAACGGCAGAGCCTTGACCCACCAGGTAATTGTATATTGAATATGTCTTGGCTCAAACCAGGGATGATTTTACTTAAATGAACCAAGGGCAGAACTGCTTGTTATAAGTCATATAAAACAAGCCCAGTGTCCAGGGTAATTAAAGATGCAAAGTAGCTGCAAAAGATTTTTGAAAATGGAAAATGAGTATTGCTGGCTTTTGAGGAGCAAGGAGAGGAGGGGAGAAAGAATGGTTCTGCTTAATGCATTGATGTCAGGCTTGTTCATTCATTGACATCAGGAAAAGACAGGCAGTCATTCCAACTCAGCTCTTTAAAAATATATACATGCATGCACGTACATACATACATAATACATACACACATACACACACATGCACACACACACACACACACACACACACACACACACACACACACACACATATATATATATTAGAAAAGATTAGAGATATTGGTTGTCTGGTGCTCATAACAGCTCTTAACATCCTGCAAATGCACTGAGAGGGGCGGAGAAAGTGAAGAATTTGAAGGAGATAAGTACAAAAGCACAGAGTGAATTTGTGCGGGAATGAGGATTAAAGCCGTTAAGTGGTTTAGTCACTTGACCCTACTAATCTTTGTTCTCTAATGTGAGAAATTCACGGGCTTTAGGAAGAGAATACTGTAGGTTCTTATGTGAAACCAGGGCTGACTGTCATTGTGTAATCCACCCATATTTGCACCCTATCTCTTCAGTAATCAGAAATAGGCAGCCCAGGAAGGCAGGCAGAGAGATTAGCTCTCCATCCCCCCCCCCCCCCCCCCCCCCCCCCCCCCCCCCCCCCCCCGCACGTTGTGTTTTTGTGTCGCAGCATCTTTAATTACTGAAAAGTAATTCACTGAATAGCACCCTGGTGGCTTGAAAGAGTTAATGCACTTTCCAGAAGTGCCTAACCTTCTCCCGGGGAGTAGCTTAAGTGCAGAGAAAATCTGGCTCGATAAATACTAAACAACAAGAATCAACTGATAAGGGTCAAACTCCACAAAACAAAATTGAACCAATGGTCCATTTAATCCAGTGCCTTCTCAATAAATCCTTTTCACCATAAAGCACTATTTACCTGGTGATTTCCATGAATTGATGGCCATTCTTCCTCAATCCTTTGAGGTCAGGTCAATATCCATTTATATCCTACTCATTTCACCCACCATCTATCCATCCATTCAGCCATCTGTCTCACTGAGCACCTACTGTGCAAGGTTCTGTGATAAATACGAAACAGTTTTGGCTGTAGAGACCTCACTGGAAAGGGGGAGTAGGATGAGATGAAAGTACATAACCACCCTGGGAGAGGACTGTAGAAAATCTGCTCTGGAAGCCCTTGAGAACCAGTGTCTCCCAACTCCCTGCATAAGTGCCCCCTGTATTGCTCCTCCTTGAGAGTACATTGTCTTGATCACATTAGGCTGTGATTCTCTCTCTCTCTCTCTCTGTGTATTGTTTTCCTCTTCCTCTATGCTGTAGACTCCTCGAGGTCAAGGTCTCTTTCTGACTCATTCATCTTTTTTGTTACCAGTGTCTAGACCAGCCACTGGCATGGAGAAGTTAATGATAAATGTTCACTGATGGATAAACGAATGAAGTCATGTTATTTTGCCTGGGGACATAGCTATATAAGATATAGTGTTGGCCTATGCACGAACACCTGCATATTATCCAGATATTTTGAAGAGGACTAGCTGAGGATGGTTATAGAATCTCATTGAATCAGGCAAAAATTGAACTTTGTATGTATGCTACATAGCTCTTTCAGAATGAGAAATATAAACTCATCACACTTGTACATACACAAGCACATGTGCCACATATAATTTTCATTGCTTCCTAGATTCCTTATTTGCCTCATAAAGTATAACCAAACTATTTCTATGCTTTTTTTTTTTTTGCCGTCTTTTCTCCTTAAATCTGTGTACCTTTTTTCATCCTCTCTGGCATTACTGTACATGCCGCCATCGCCTCCTACCTACCCTATAGCAACTGGTCCAGTCCTGGTAAATTCCAGTCTTATGTTCTCTTCTTCCAAATTTGACCTTCATATTGAAGCCAGAGTAGCTCCTTAAGAAGCAGTTGTATATGCCTTTGTCTTGCTTAGAACCCTTTGATGGCCAACAGCTAAAGACAGGATAAAATCTTAACTCATTAGCATGAGATACCAAGTCCATCATGCTTGTCTGTCTAGCATCATCTCCTGAGGATTTTCTGACCCTCCTAGCCCTTGTGGCTCCTGTTTCTAGGTAGGAATATTCTGTTCCAGTCTAGCCCAATCTCTTCCCCAATTCTCTCTGCTTCCAAAATATGGATGGGCAACAGGCAGGCCATTCTTTGCCTTCCTTTGTCCTTTGCACACTAAAATATAGATTCTCCATTATTGCATGGTTGTTGATCATTTAAATTGTTTCATAGCAAATTCTAAGTCTCTGTCTGTTTGTCTGTCTCTCTTAGTTTTTTTGAGATAGGGTATCACTATGTAGCCCTGGCTGTCCTGGAACTCACTATGTAGACCAGGCTGGATTCAAACTCCCTGAGATCTGTTTGCCTCTGCCCCTTGAGTGCTGGAATTAAAGGTGTGTGCTACCATGTCTGGCTTTGGTTTTGGTCACTTAAATAAAAAGGTTTTAGTTTAGGTTTTTTTTTTTATGGTCTGTGTGCCCATGTATTTGTAGCTACCTTGAGGGACCAGAAGAGGATTTCAGATGCCTGGAGCTGGAGTTATAGATGGTTGTGAGCTGTCCAACATGGCTACTGAGATCCAAACTCTAGTCTTCTAAGGAACAGCGATCTCTTAACTTCTGAGCCATCTCTCCAGTACAGTAAGCCTGACTTTCTTAATAACATTCTCTGATTTGTCACTTATCACAAAGCACAAAAGATCTAACACTTAGGATTAATCAATAACAAAATAAGACAGTGCCTCAATAAAGGACCAACTTAAATTTCTCCCATAATAGAATTGTTCTATATATGTGCAATGATTGTTCAATTCTTTGATGCATTTTTATTAGTAAGAATGTTGCCTCTCATGTGCTAAATCCTTGTTTCTGAAGAAGCTTATCTAACATTTTAAAACTCAAGGTGCTCTGCTTTACCTGGAAATGTCTTGGCTTAAAACACTTAAAACTCTTCTCCACAGGACAGCCTGGTTCTAGTCCTGAAAGTCTGACATGCTGGGAAGTCCCACAGTCTTGGGTAATCAGAACAACTGGGCCTTTTGTTCTTGGTATTTCTACTCTGTTTGGTCATAGAACCTCCAACACCTCCAATGATGTACATTGGAATGAGTCACAAAGGCAGCATGGACAGAAACTCCCTGAGACCACATCAACTTTCAGTGAGATGAAAAAATAGAGGGCAATTTTCTATGCAAATATGAAAAACTGTTATAATCCCGTAACAATGTTAAGGTTGTTCCATGGCAGGTTATTTTAGAAAGTGTGATTTCCAGAATTTAAGCAGACCTATGCAGAAACATGAAGCAAATCTTTAAGCACATGATACATAGCTGCAGATGTCTGAGGAACCTGGCCAGGACACAGAGCAGGCGGACATGAAAAACTATGCCTTTGTAAGGCATAGTCTGAAGGCCCTATCTGTTGCAGAATTAACTTACACAAATTACATGACAGTACTTGGACTGTGTGACCATTATTTTTTGTGACATTCGCCAAAGTTGAGTTCATATGATATATGGGATGAGTTAGATTTTGAAAAATAAATCAAAAATCAACTCCCACTCCCTCATTACTTCAATCTTTTTTGTTGTTGTCGTTGTTGTTTTGGTTTATTGGGAAGCATAACATTACAATACTGTTTTATTTTCTTTCTGTAAAATCACAGGAAACCTTTCCATTTGATGCCCTTCTCCTCTTATAGCACTTTAGAATATAAATAATTTCTAGATAGAAAACACTGCACAATCTATTGCAGAAAATCTGTGTCATCCCTCCTCACTAGCTTACTCCCACAACAAACACTCAGTTACACCGTAATGTGTTTGCACCACAGAAAATTACTGACCTCATGATCTGAGCAGCACAATGTTCTCAAAATATATTGCCTCATCTGTTAGGTTTGATTAAACCATTTATCAGCAAAAAATAAAAATTGCTTTTCTTTGCTTAGCATGTCTGGAGATTGGAGAGTGCTTTGTGAGGCCATGTTATCTCCGCATTTGTAGTGGTGCTATGCACTGTCATTGGTTCAGGATAATGGGGATGCATGCTTACATTAAGAAGACAGTTACTCTCTTTTATGTGCACTCCTGTTGCATGTGTATTTAGTGCACTACACTGTTGCATAGATTAAACTATCTAGAAACATTTAGTTTACTACACACACACACACACACACACACACACACACACACACACACACACACACACACACACGTCCACTTCCACTTAGGGAGTCATACCATCACTCCTCCATACATGATATATATGCATTGAATTTTTTTCCACCCATGGAGATGGATTTATGGTGTGTGCTTTCTCACTTTAGTGCAATATCTGGCTGAAATTAGGAATGTGGCCAGACATTAAACAGTAGAGTTTTTCCTCATGTAATGCTCATTGATCCCTAGGGCCACTGAATTGCTGTCTTCATCTTTTACCTCTACTCCCTACTCAGTGGAGTCAGTGACTCCAATGAATGTGAATTAGATAGATGCACAGTTTGATCCTCTATGATTCTGAGGGGTTAGGTGACTTCACAGATGTGGTCAATTTTGATAAGTTTCTAGATGAAGTTGCTTTTGGCCTTGGATGATTTGAGCAAATTGTTATTCGGATCTCGTTATAGACACAGTGCTGGAAAAATGTATGAGATCAGTGCCATATTTATGTAGCTTCAAAATTGAAAAAGAGTTGCTGCTTTTTGAAGTTTCTGGGGAGGTTTTATAAAAGAGAGTGGTATCATCCATTGATTGCTGCAATATCCACCGAGTAGCTATCATGTGCTGGGCATAACTTGTAGACAGGATCAAGACCATAGTCCCTTAAGGAGTTTACCATCTAAGGGGATGCCAGATATTCAAATAAACACACACCAATCATAATTCCACAAGTGTTTCAAGTATAGGTTGGCATATGAGAATTACAGTTTGCCATGGGAGGGAGAAGGGAAGCTTAGTTCATTGGTAGAGCTTGAAATTGCTATTTAGAGAACGATTAGGAATTTGAAACAATCGAGAGGGGAAAATAGGAAAAATGTGCTTCAGAAGGAGAAAAATTGTATCAATTTCTGGAAGCTAAAAAAAAAACATGATTATTTAATATTACTGGAAATATACATGGAAGAAGGGTTTGACGAAGGGATGTTATGAGCTAAGTGGCATGGGCAGATGGGCTAGTCAGATCTGAAGACCTTGTGTGCTGAATGATAGAATTCTTTAAAGTTTATAAGAGATGTTTATCATGGTAAGAATCATAACAAGTGGCAGTTAGAGAGTTGTAATGATATATCTTCAATAGCCTGGATGCTTCTTCCTCTAAGCCAGTCTAAAAGCTCTAAGTGCCATAGGGAGCATAACAAGCTTGACTGAGGAAGCTCTGAGATTACTGCCTAGCTGGTTGTGAACTGTTGAACACACCTGCTGGGGTACGCTGCGTCAGATTCACAAGTTCATTTTACTAATGAGGATAGAGACTCAGGAAGGTTAAGTTGCTTCCCCCTCCAGATTAAAGAACTAGTGATGCTTGAGGCTGACTAGATATACTGTTGCTAATTTTCATCTGACTGAAAGAAAGGCTGCAGGGATTCTAAAAGAAACAGGGAAGATAAAGATTTATAGTATGGTCATAGTAGTGAGAAGCTGAGCATTGGGTGGCTAGGATGGAAAAGGAGCATGTGGGCAGATCCTGAGGGGGGAATAAAGGAGCCATACAATAGTAGAAAATGTAGTAAGACTGAACTCTACTAGGAATGCTAAGATTTCCAGTTCAAGAGAGCTTGTTGGCCAAGGGTAGTAGATTCTGGAGAGTTAGGGTGGAATTCAAGAGAAGTGGCGACAAGACACTAACATTAAACATCAGTGGCATTGATGATGACTTTCTTCATAACCTACTGTTTCAAATTTGATGTGAATGACCTATCTGGATAACTGAGAACCTCCACTAATTGTGCCGGAATTTAGTAGAACATATTTCTCAATCACTGCTCCCGTGACTGGTAGAAAAGCAGAAGTGCAGGACACTTACTCTTAAGAATTGCTCTGCTTTGTAAGGACATGGCATTTCACTGGTTTCATTCCCACAATGCATCACTCTTTGTTCGAGGAGTAGCTCATGCTGCCTCAAAATACTCAGGTGCTATGGACATCAAGGGGAGACACCACAGATAAAACCAAATGGCTAGGAAGGGGACACACTGCCCAGTAGGTATTATTTTAGGCTATCATATCTGGACTCCTCTGATCACAGTTGTTAGGTGAAGAATCTGTGAACTTATTCCTCATTGGGTTAATGTTTTGACAAATCTCAACAATCACCATGACTTTCACTTTACATCCTTGCCCAACATATCAGCATGGAGGATTTTGGAAGCCATTGCTTTCTGTTCCTCAATGCTTTGGAGACTTCCATCAAGTGCACATGTGAAATGGTACATTGGTAAGATGTCCCCTCTGTATGCCCCAAACAGGAAAATGTTTTCTGTTAAAGTTTGCATGACCCCTTTCAGTACTTTGCATGTCAAGAGTACAGGCCTTAAAGTGTGCTGGTGGTTAAAGACTATGTTTATTTTAGTGTGTGTACTAATACTTTCCTACCTTGAATATATTCCTTCATTTAGACATCATCCAAGGTATTCTATCTTTTCCTTGACTTTTTGGAGATTGTCAATAGACAAGCATCAAGTTCATTAAACTTCTTGGAGTCCCTTGAGCTGACCCAGAGATAAATGAAACATGTAAGTGGAGATGTCTGCTCTTCTGCCTGCTATGTAGTAGACACTTATTGACATGTTTTGTCACACATAACAGAAAAGAAATCCCAAAGAAATAAAAATTCTTGTGAAACCAAAATCCCTCAGAGTTCACTCCTATTATCAATATTGTTTTTTTTTGTTTTTTGTTTTTTTTTTTAGATTTTGAAAGTGAGAAAACAAGTTGCAGCTTGCCTTTCAAAAAGAAATTTTCTCTATGTCTCTTTCTCTCAGTGTACCTTTTTGGAAAACAATCTGGCCATTGAGTTCTGATTTGAAGAGGAAGCACACTGTAATATGCAGGCATGAGATACTTGAGCAGAAGATAATGCTTGCAGCCGCACTTTTAACATTCAATTTCAGTGCTGTCCAGAAAAACTGTAAAACTGGGGAAAGGTGAGTAATAGATTTGACAGCTACACATTAAAATGGACCTTATTAGTGAAATATAAATTATAGCTAGGCATTTCTATAACACCCCATGAAGTTAATGATAAGCAGTCAAGGAGATTTATATACCCTTAACATTTTTATAATGAGTCTGTTGCTTAGATGACAGTTTACTGTCAAACATTATGCTTATAAACTATAGTATTTGATTCAAATAAATAGACAGTTTAGCTTCATGTGGTTTGTTTTGATTTTCCCTTTTCACAAGGTACATACCCTCACTTTTCTCTCTCTCTCTATTTTTTTCTTCTGTAGACTATGCCCTTAAACTTATACCCTACACTGGAAATGAAGGTTCAAAGTGGGTACACATTGACCAGCGCGAAAAGCTGTTGTGCTCAAAGAGAATAAGTTCCCTGGATTCTTGGAATAGGTATGAGGATTCTGCAGAGGAGTGTAGGTAGAGTTTTCCTGCCTGGCCCACAGTCAGGGCAAATCTCTCTCACCTGCCAGTCCCACAGCCGTCACACCCGACCAAGTAAACACAGAGACTTGTATTGGTTTCAAACTGTATGGCCATGGCAGGCTTCTTGCTAACTGTTCTTTCAGCTTAAATTAATCCATTTTTATAAATCTATACCTTGCCACATGGCTCGTGGCTTACCGACATCTTCACATGCTGTTTGTCATCGTGGCGGCTGGCAGTGTCTCTCTGACTCAGCCTTCCACTTCCCAGCTTTATTCTCCTCCTTGTCCCGCCTACACTTCCTGCCTAGCCAATGGCCAATCAGTGTTTTAATTATTGACTAATCAGCAACACATTTGCCATACAGAACATCCCACAGCACTTCCCCCCCCTTTTTTTTTTTAAAAAAGGAAGGTTTTAACCTTAACAAAGTAAAATTACATATAATTTGGGAATCTGGGCGTAGCTTCTCTTACTACTTCCTGCTGGAGGGGGGCGCTGTATCTTATGGGGACACAAAGAAAATTTTAGGATTATGGAATAGTCCATGAGGGTGTATCATCTGAGCCAGTTGCCTTCAAACTGTTCTGGATGTTGGATCATCTGGGCCATGGTGTCATCGGAGACCTTTCAGGGGGTCTTGGCTGGTCAAACCTGATGTGTCTTAATCTGGAACAAATCCATAGCTTCTGGCTTTCTGTGGGAACAAAAGCAGAGTCTCCTTTCCAAAGCAACATATCCTTATATTCAAATTTTGAAGTCAAGGTACTTTTAAAATATACATTTTGGCATAACTCAACAGCTTTTACAATCAAATGTTTTTCTGCAGTTAAAAGTCCCAAAGACAACACAATGCAGATTCTCTGTGTAATATCCATTTTTACGTGGCTTATTTTTTATACTACCTTTACTGTCTCTTTAAAGACTTTATTTTTTTAAACTATGTATTTGTTTCTATAACTCTATATATCATCTTTTTTGTCTCTTTTAAGCCTACGTATATTTTACACACATTGTAAACTATTACATCTGAATCTGTCTTATTGTGAATCTATTGCCTTAAACTGCAGCAACTGTGGCTGCTGGCTCCGCCCACCTCAGCTTCCCAACATGGCTATGTTTACCACCAGCTCTGGGAGCTATCTGTGGGTCTATGCTTTTATCCAAGCAGCGTGTAGTCCAGAAACCTCTTTTTTTTGTTTTGTACCTGCAAAGGCTAAATCCACCATGCAGCTTAATGTGCCACTTGCAGAGGCCTCATTCCCGTCATACTGCAGGTTGAGTGCACACACCAGGAACCCACACGTAGCTCAAACCGGCAGCTGCTGATCATTTGAGAGAGACAATTAGGAAGCTGTTTTTAGCTCCGTTTTAGAATCTTTTTTCTCAGTTTTTAGGTGGAAACTCTTGCCACCACGTTGGACGCCATTTGTAGGTAGAGTTTTCCTGCCTGGCCCACAGTCAGGGCAAATCTCTCTCACCTGCCAGTCCCACAGCCGTCACACCCGACCAAGTAAACACAGAGACTTGTATTGGTTTCAAACTGTATGGCCATGGCAGGCTTCTTGCTAACTGTTCTTTCAGCTTAAATTAATCCATTTTTATAAATCTATACCTTGCCACATGGCTCGTGGCTTACCGACATCTTCACATGCTGTTTGTCATCGTGGCAGCTGGCAGTGTCTCTCTGACTCAGCCTTCCACTTCCCAGCTTTATTCTCCTCCTTGTCCCGCCTACACTTCCTGCCTAGCCAATGGCCAATCAGTGTTTTAATTATTGACTAATCAGCAACACATTTGCCATACAGAACATCCCACAGCAGAGGAGTCATGGTTTGCTAAAAGTATCAGAATTTACAGGGTCTTCTGCTGGCGGCTGCAGGGATGTTGTCATGTAAGAATAAGAGATCCCACTGGGAGGAGGGCCTTTAACCATGAGAACGAGTGTGGTGGTATTTTACTTACTGAAATGTGATTTTAATTGTATGTTAATAAATAAAGTTGCCTGGGGGTCAGAGCTATTAGAGCCATAACAAGTGCGTGGCGGTGGTGGCGCACGCCTTTAAGGACCTGGAGGGCAGTACATTCAGACAGTGACGAGGCAGTCACATGTTTGGGTTTACAACCAATGAGAAGGCAGAACAGCTAGAGTATATAAAGACATACACACAGGAAGTAGCTCCCTTTCGGAGAGCTCTCTTGGCTGAAGAGGATCCCTGAATCAGGAAGGGTGAGGCTCTTAGCTCTGACCTCTTGGCTTTCTTCTCTGAATCGGCTCTGTGTTTCTTATTTAATAAGACCGTTGGTTACATCTACAAACGAGCGTCCCTTACACATTGTGCGGAGGAGATTATGTCCAGTCCTTTCCTGGAAAGAGTCCCATATGGATTATTGCAACTGCCTATAGTCCCGAGGACAGCTCTTCATTGGCCAAGTGCCTCGTAAATGGTGCTGACAGATTAACTGCAGCTGGAGAGGGTCCTCAGAGGTGTTTCTGAGGGACACTTGACAGAGCCCTGCTGCCCCCATGGGGTCATTTTGCTGCACAGGTCAAGTGCAGACATCTGCTGCCTCTACGCAGCAGGGAGTCTTACTTTGGGAAGCAGATGTCTGCTTTTGGTTTTCAGGAAATAGAGCTGTTGCTCAGAAACCGTGGCCTATCAAGTTAGAAAGACTTCAAAGGTAGGCGTTTTCCAAAGGGGTGGTATTAGAATGGCATTTATGTGACAGTTTAAAGTATTTCAAACAGGCTGACAAAGATCTTTGCTCTCTGCTCTGTGTGGTTGCATATATGTTCTACCTGTCCTACCTACCCTAGAACATGTCTGCTAGCTCCCAAGGCGAGCTTGAAATCAGCATCTGTGTTTGAACTTTGGGAAGACTGCCATTTGCTCCTCACCAGTTCTAGTTTGGTTTCTGTTGCTATTAGTAAACACTATGACAAAAAGCAACTTGGGGAGGAAAGAAGTTTTTGGCTTAAAGATTGTCTTATTTAGGGTTTCTATTGCTGTGAAGAGACACCACGACCACAGCAACTCTTATAAAGGAAAACGTTTAATTGTGGTGACTGGCTTACAGTTCAGAGGTTCAGTCCACTATTGTCATGGTGGGAAGCAAGGCAGCATGCAGGCAGACATGGTGCTGGAGCTGAGAGTCCTTGCATTTTGATCCAAAGGCAACAGGATTGGGAACTGTCTCGCTGGGCATAGCTTGAGCATATATAAGACCTCAAAGCCCACCTCCACAGTGACACACTTCCTCCAACAAGGCCATATCTCTTAATAGTGCCACTCCCTTTGGGGGCCATTTTCTTTTAAACCACCACAGAGATGATAGTATAGCATCAAATGAAGCCGAGGCAGGAACACTCAAAGCAGGAATTGAAGCAAATACCACAGGGAAACACTGCTGACTGGCTTTCTTTCTGTGGCTTGCTCAGCTACCTCTCATAGACAGCTTAGGCCTCCCCACATAGGGATGGCACTGCCCATAGAGGCCTGGGCCCTCCTACATTAATTAGCAATCAAGAGAAGGCCAGCAGACATGTCCATAGGCCAGTCTGATGTAGGCAGTTCTTCAACTGAGGTTCTGTCTTCTCAGGTTTGTCAAGTTAACAACAAAACTAACCAGAACACCACCTATTCTTATCAACTCTTATGTTTTCCTTTTTGAATTCAGCATGGACCACCATCTTGTTTTGTTTTGAATCTTAGAGGTTTTTTTTTTTTTTTTTGTTTTGTTTTGTTTTTTAGAATACTGTTAGTTTGTCTCTAGGTGTCCCTCATGCATATCATGTGCAAATACTTGCCTGCTTCACTGGTGGTAAATGCCAGAGCCTTTACAAGGACACGTGTAGACCCCAACACTGAGACTTTTAAGCAGTGATTTCTGCTATGGTAAGAACAACATAATCATCTGGGCTCAAGGTTCTGTGCTAGTTTACATTATTCTCTAGTACTTCAGCAGTCCTGTGAGGCACTCTTAAATATTCCCCCTTTTTTCAATCTATGTGTGTCAGAGCATGACTTCAAATTCCAAGCTTGAGATTCTTTTAAGAATAGTAGAACCACAAGTGTAAGCTAAAATAGTCTAGAAAAAAAAAGGAGCTTTGAGTTTTCATACCATTTCACTGTCTTGTTTGGAAGTTTCAGCTGGCAAATTTATCTTCTTTTTTCATGAGGATACTATTTCATGTGATCATTCTTGCCTCCAAGCTGATTGATGACAAGTGTTGAATTTAAATAATGCCACAGTTAGGAAAGAAGTAGAAAGATACCTTCTAAAGTCTCTGATGCCTGAGTCAAGGTGTGGCATGGACCAGGTCTAAGACATAAGAAGATTATCCATAGAGACTTAGTAAATTGGTAGTTTTGGTATATTTGCAGGAAAAAATACTAATGTTGCTGCTATTAGGAGAAAAAGAGACACAGTGGAGATTTCTAGCATGCACCGGGTAAAAGCAGGCATCCAGGAAAAGTGGTTGTAAGGGAGAATTATGAAAGCAAGCAATGGCACAGTGACAACTCGGTAGACATACAAAGGTTGTCAAAGGGTCATGGACAGAAGGTAACACTTCTCCAATGCGCCCTAGATGTCATCAGTTGAAGGCACACAGCCCCAGTGACTGAGTAGGTTGTTGAGCAGAGGTCTTAGGACCTTCAAATGAGAGACACAGACTCTGCTCTCAGGAGTTTAGATGTGGGAGAGATCTGTGATCAAGTGCTTATTGCTTAGACGGGGGTAGAAATCCTTTCTAACCAAGGACCAATATTCTTTTAATATAGCACAATATGTACTTCAGGTTGTCTGTCAGTATTTGGGGTTTTTGAAATACAATATTATCAAAGCCACTGACATTTGATTCATAGAAGATGAAAAATGATGCATTGTTATCAAATGCCTTTTCATAAACATCATATTCATGTATTTCACATGGCTTTTCTCTGAGGTTTTAAAACAGCAACTTGTCCTTAGAAACCAGAAGAGGGCATGTGGAATGGTTCTAAATGAAGATATTAATATTCACATTATAGCTAAACCTTGCTAATTTGCACTAATGACTGGGGAACCCATTGCAAATTACCAAATTAGTGAGTAAGCCAGCAACCAGGATTTCTAAAAACCCAAAGACAGCACCAGAAAATGAGCCTCTTCCTATAATTTCATCAATGCAATTGAATTTTAACCATTAGGAGTAATTTGTAGCCTATATTTTGTCTATCTTGCAAACCTAGGTTCATTTTAAAGAGCAGTGGTGAGGGTATGAAAATAAAGTTTATTTTTAGTACACAGTTGTGATTAAGGAATGTATGTAAAAGAAAAGAAAACCTTGGGAAAAAGACACTGAAGATTTGTGTGAAGGGTTTTATTTTTATTATATTTTTATTTTTATGCCTGATGTAACTGTTTCATTTTCTCTTTTAGTCATCCTCCTGAATGTGCAAATGTTTAATGAAATATTACACCAAAGACTCATAAGCATCAGTGAAATCTCTCAACTAACCAGCCGCCTTATTAGTGAAAGAGGTAATTTTCTGAAGCTCAATTACATGAAAATGGAAAAGAGATGAGTGAGAGTAAGGGCTGGAATACCAGCCTTGTTGGTAGTGACAGCCCAGATCTATAACCAGTAACAACAGGAAGAAGGGCCCACTACACTGGTCTTTGGGACCAGCCATGACCTACCCACTAAAGGGTTGTGTTTTCTTATAATTAACAATCCTTCTCTCTCAAAGTACCTCATTTTATGTTTGCCATTTATTATTGTATGTGTGAATTCTTGTTTTGCTTTTCTTTTGTAGGTTTTTTTTTTTTTTGAGGACTTCATACATGAGCGTTCATTGCATCTACATCCCTTCTGCCCCCTCTTCCTCCTCATCTTCTTCTCATGTCCTCCCTCCCAAACTCATGATGTTTTCATTGTTATTGCTATGTGTAGATGTAACAATGGATTGGACAATTGGAAACTCATGCCTGGATGAAATTGATTCTCTCTTTCTCAGTAGCTGCTGACTATCTACAGCTTGTCATCTAGGGTTAGGACCCTGTGGAATCTCTTTGTCTGTCAACTGGTGGTGTCTTTGTGCTGGTTTCATTCAGGCAACCTTATTTTTGAGAGTTCATGGGTACACTTTTCCTGTCATGTCTAGGGAAACTACCTACCAGCAGTCATTCTGAGTCTCTGGCTCTTATAGTCCTTCTTCCTTTTCTTCTGTGATTTTCTGTGAGCCTTAGATAAAGGGATTGGATTGTAGATGGATCGGTTGGGTTTCCACACAATCACTTATCTTCTACATTTTGACCAGTTGTAGATCTCTATAATATTCTTCATCTGCAGCAAAAAGAGGTTTTGTATATGAAAGGTGAGAGGTATACTTCTCTATGACTATAATATATTTGTTTGGAAAAATGACATTAGTATGTTCTCTTTAGGGTCTGTGATCTCCTCTGCCACAGGTTTACAGGTAGGTTTAAAATACCAGGCATGGATTGCCTTCTTCTTCTTTTCTTTTTTTTGAGCAGGCCTTGATCCAATTTGACAGTTGTTGGGTACTCTCCAGATAAAAATATCACCATTTCACCATTGTGGACATTTATCCCTCTAATCATCACTGTGGTTCATAGGCTCTGCAGGTAGGACTACTGACTTCTCTCCCTTGGAAGCTTGCATAGTACCTTCCTATATTATGAGAGCCAGTTCTCAGGGAAGCAGTGTCCAAGTCAGTCTTAACTCAATTCCTCCAAGTCCTGTGTCCGAAATGTGGTATCTTCAGAACAGGGCCTTTCCTTCAAGTTGTGGGAGGCAATCAAGGACAATGGCAGTAGCTTATTTTGTTTTGGGGAATCTCTTGGACTCCCCTGAACACATCTGGTACCAAGGTTTCTCTGCTTTTACAGAACTTGAGTCTTCCTTAGTTGTTGGAGTCAAAAAGTCTGGATTTTTTTTTCTTTTTTCTGGAGAGGTAGTGGGGTAAGGAAAAAAAAAAGCAGAGTATATAATCTAAAATGTGTGGATGTCAGAGAAGGAATGAACTTCAGGCTCAGAGTTCCAGAGCCCCATTGGTCTCTTTCTTATTTTCTCTAGGAAGAGTTATCCTCATCTTCATTAGCAAAGAGAACCTCTGCCTTCCTTGCCTCACACAGGAGGTCAGAGCTTCAGCTGTGAACATGGAGATAAGGCGCAAGGTAGAGTATTATCATGAATGAATTCTCAGGGCTACCTGTCAGCTAGGGGTTGAAAATTGTTCCTGACCTTACTTAACTCTGGGGTCCTAGGGCTCAGCTAGTGGTGGCTGATCTTGGTTTACTCATCTCATATCACATTAGGAAATCCAAACTAGGTGTGGTTGGCTAACTGTGACAAGACTGGAAATTGCCAGCTCCACTGAGCCCCAAGGGCAAAATGGCAGATACTGGAAATGTTCATTTCTAAAGGAGGTAGGCTTCCACTGCTGTGATTCTCCTAACATCTTCTTCATAATCACAGCATGCATTTAAGGAACTCTCTCTTTCCACAGAAATGGCAATGCAGGAACCTTTCTCTTTCACACTGTGTCAAAACAGGGACTAGATGGCTAGGGAAAAAAAAATCAAATCAAATTGAATGAAAGAAAACTAGATATAGTCACCCTAGACTCTTTCCCCTTATATTAATCATACCATCATGAGAGCATATAGAGTTTGCAGCCCTGAATGAAAAGAAAAACACCTTACTCACATACAGAGACTGAGTATAGGGCTATTTCCATCATATAGAACATGTTTCTGCAAGGTATCTTGCACAAGTATGACTTATGACACATTTTGAGAGACCAAAATAGAAACGTGAAAGGGATAAAAATAATAATTATTTTCAAAGAAGTTAAAATAGGAGGAAGCACCCGAGTCTACAGCTCATTTAAACTTGAGCCAAACTTTGAATTGTGCGGATTCTGAGTCTTTTTGACCTTCCACACTTTGAAGAAGTGAGGAATTTAAATATTTTCAAGGAAAATGGGTATTCAAACTTTAAAATCTTCTAAGACAGAAAGTGTTTTTCACAATTGTTTAAGAAGAATTATATGAATTATTTGTTTATTTGTGTTGAAGCTTCAAGTGTTCTGGAGTGTTATGCTTGCTGCAAGTACTTTTCCTCCTCTCCTTGCTCCACTTTGATGACTTTCATGAAAATTGTTTCCCTGGAGACAAGACGGTAATGGTCATAACAGGTACACTTAGTCTCCACCACTTTCTGACAAGGATACAGTTGATGTGACTGGGTACAAACTTCTTGTAATGAAATCCCAATCCAATTACTGAAGTGTAGAAGTTAAAGTATCAGCAGAATACACTGAGAACACTTCAGCATCTTTCTTTTTCTTTCTGCCCAGCTCAGATATTATTACTTCTTAAACTTTCGTCTGTAGGAATCCATCAATGTCCTTTTTCAAATTCTCTAAAAAACATTCTCTAAGGAGGATTCTAAGATAGGCAATTTCCTCTCATCTGAGTTTTCATGGGATTTCAGCTCAAGTTTTACTATGTTTTTAAGAGCCCTCTAGATGATCACGAATGGTAGTCAAGTTTAGTTAAAACACACGTGATGCAATGCACTCATCACAGGATACCATCTAGGAAGAACAATCAGGGAAAGCATTCCATTACTCAGAAGAGCGCCTGATCAGTTCTTCTGAACACTTCAAATGTTGGAAAAACCCATCAGCCTTTAGCTGATGATAATACATTTTCATAAAAGTTGTTGAAAGTGTTTGTCATAAGGGCTAACAAACAGACATGGCAAAGCCACCCAGGAAGAGAAGGGCTTGTGTGTTACCTTCACTCTGCTAAGATGATAAAAGAAGGTTTTATTCCTTTTATTGAATTCAAACTTCCTTTTATATAAAAAGCAAAATTCTGCCTAAAACATCTCAAGTTCAAAGAAAGAAGTGGCTAATGCATGTTTGCCAAAAGACTTTGTGAAGTCTAGCACTAGTGGACCTAATTCTCCCATCATGCTCCAGGTGGAACATGGAAGTTAGAATCTGAACCTCTTCTATCAGTATCATCATGTTTTCCTTGTTTTTCTGTGGGTATTTCAAAAGGAAGTCTGGACTGGTTTCCCAGGTATGTTCACTGAGAGACTTCTTAGTCAGCTGTTGTTTTCAGGTCTTGCCTGAGAAGCAACATGTGTGTGTGTGTGTGTGTGTGTGTGTGTGTGTGTGTGTGTGTGTGTGTGTGTGTGTGTGTGTATGTGTGTGTGTGTGTGTGTGTGTGTGTGTGTGTGTGTGTGTGTGTATGTGTGTGTAGTGCTGAGATGGTACCCTTGGCCTTCAACATGTTAAGTAAGTGCTTCATCATTGAACTTATGAACATTATGAACACTCTTAATAAGAATAGTGATAGGCTGTAGATGTCATTTTCTTGACTCCTGAATTTCTAAATTAAAAAAATAATTTCATTAATATACTAATAAAGACAATCTTTTTCTTTAGGGATACTGAGTTAACCAAGATTCATCCAGTTGTCCAGTGATAGCATGAGGTTGATTTCTGACATATACTTTGTGATGAAAAGAGCTTTACTTAATTGTTACTTGAATGCCATCTGGTTATAGTCTAATTTGCTCATGTAGAATCTGAGATGTAGTATAGAAACGTACGACAGTAGAAGCTCCTTAAAATACATACATATAGGAAAGAAATATAAATGGAATCACTGAATAACGGAGAACACAAAACCCTAGTGAAGCATCTCTGGACACTAAATGAAACCTCCAGTGCCAGGAATAGGTTGTGTTTCATTGAGTTGTTGGACAAAGGGTTCCCACTGAATCCTCCAAACTACTCAGGCTACTGCCAAGGCTATTGGTTGCTCTCCACAAATTGCTAAGTCCCTATTGCTGACAACAATCCTTATACAACTTATTGAGTATGGAGAAGTCCAGCTGGTGCCCATCTAGAGCCTTCACCCCTACTGAATAGTGTTCATGGTACTGGAAGGGACTTTGCATGCGACCATAGGAGAAAGATAAACACCCATACAGCTACAAACCCTTCAGACACTTTTAAATCCATTTAAAACCAATCTGTTCATGAATCAAAATGTATCATTTGATCACCTGCTATAAAGAAAGCATGATGATATCATTTTAAGGACACAAAAATGTTCATGAGTTGGCCTTGTTTCAGGAAGCTTATAAATTACTCAATTATTAAAGACTCAGCCACCTAGGGTAGTAAGAGAATGCCAACTGTGACACTGGGCAGCATGAGAGGATGGCAAGCTTAGCTTGGGTGCTGCTTCCAGCCCACACTCGATGAGTTCAGTATGAATTATCTGTGTTATCTATGAGGCAATGGTACATATATGTCTACAATAAATATGTAAGGAGCAGTTGGAGAGACATTACTTTTCAGAAATATATGTTTCATAATTAAAAACAAGCAGTTAGCCTTGAGATCATATAAATGCTGGTAACATTATAAGACAGAACATTTATATATTTCAGAACACACACACATATATATGCACATATAAATACATATATGTATCATGAACAGAATGTTTTTATATAGGTTGCTGAGTAATCTGGTATACGGCAAATGACCCTTATTACCATACCACGGAAAAGCAATTTCTTTGATGTGAGTATCTTTTTTTTATTTACAGAGAGTGTTTTTTTTTATGATGAAAGTGAATGAACCAACCATACTCTTCTTCATTTTCTTACAATTCTATGTGATATTTTGTCATAAGTCAGGAATACAATCCATAATTAACCCATAGTCAGGGTGGCTTATGGAAAACAATAAGGCTTTTTGTTTTGTGAGTGGACTCGCTGAACAGGCATCACAAATGAATTTTTCTAAGTCCAAGGCTAAGAACACACATTTAAATACTGCTAAAGTTTATTGTGTTAAGAAAATTATTTTGACTTTTTATTATTATTATTTTTATTATTATTTGTGTGTGTGTGTTGAATCATCTTAGAGCTTGAGTTATAGATGGTTGTAAGACACCTGATGTGTACTAGGATTGAAACGTGAGTCCTCTGGAAGAGCAAAATCTACCCTTAACAGCTGGGTCACCCTTTAGCTCTTTAAGAGAATTCTGAGCTCACAGGTAGAAGAACCACATCTATTAACACTTTTCACAATGCAGCACTGAATAGAAGTATTTAAAGTCATTTGTCTGGTGGCTTAAAGATTTCACACACAAAAAAATTATCTCTCTTTTCCGAGAAATAATTCAGTGTGAGATCCTGATGATGGGCATGCCAGCTCGGTTGTGTTGATGACCTTCACTAGGCTGCACTAGTATCTTTCTTTTTCTCCCCTCTTCTTTGCCTTGCAGTGTACCAGAGAATAATTCATATCCTTACTAACCTTTGCAAATGATTTCCCCAAAGGTTTTCCTTCATCAATATCTGTGAAAACTAACCCATTGTCATCATCTGTTAAAAAGTAATTAGCCATGAGCAAGTGCTCTGTGCTGGCATCTTTCTAACCAGATTGATTTTCCTTTTCTTTTATTTGATGGTAGATCTATTAATTGTGGCCATGTTAGGAAGCCATCACCCTTTTATTCTCCTATTTCTTTTTCTCTGCTTTGCTGAGAAGGCTCCGGCTTACACCAGGTTTGGAGAGTT